GAGTCTAATCATGGGAATATATGTACGTTTTTATATCTCTTCATATTTTCTGCTTGGGTATATATGCCATGTCATCATATGCCGCAAATACGTATATTTATTTGTCTTCATATTCTGGTTAGACCAGAGAACTTAAAACATGGAGAAGGTGCAGGTTCGATATCGAACATTTAAGGTAAGGAATTCGCCGCATTTGCTAAAATTGTAGTAAGGAATTCGCCTCATAATGTTAACATTGTTTACAGTTCTCTGAAATATTCAAACAGAGAAAGTGAAGAGAAATAAATATATTAGCTTGTCAAAAAAGTCTTGCTTTATTTTCGCTAGTTGGCGCTGAGAGCGTGTAGTTCTAGTTTTATTCGTCGCATCGGGTCATGCTATACCTTTTTGGAAAGCTCATTTCACGTGTTTGATTGCTTGTCGTTTCATTTAAGTCCTTCGTGAGTTATTGCATCGCAAACATGGAGGAAAATATAGAGAAAATGCGGGACTGCGCACAACGATGGTTTCAACGTTTTCGTTCTTCTTTCGGAAGGCCTGTCGTCGAAAATTGCGACCAAATCGCTGAATTGGGCGAAAGAGACTGGCATAGTAGCATCAGTCAAGAGCTGGGCATGAGTCATCAAACAAAATTTATGATCATTTGAAATTCAATAAAATACCGCGATACTTTTTTGACAACGTAATATGTACTTATGCTTGCTCCTTATGATACTCCCAACAATAGCATTGTGATATTTTCATGCTTCAATTTTTGTATTTTGCCGTCGGCATTTCCATATTGGCATGTAAAATTAATTATGATACGGATATGAGTATAATTTTATATGAATGCATGCATAGTACCATTTACAGTCAATTAGGACTTGAATATTTTATTTAATTTTACCATTTGATTAATAATAATTTTTTTTGTATTATGTTTCTTAATATAATATAAATTGAATTTATCACAACAATATATGTATGTATGTATACATATGTATGTATCATATTAATCTTATGTCTCTGCATATGCACGTACATATGTATGTATATGCATGTGCGCGTTCAGAAATTCAAATCATGATTTTATCACTGCATGTTCATACATTCATATATGTATACTGATACTCGTATGTACATATATTTATATACACTTCAGAACAAATAATGCAAATAATACAAACATACAAATGCGTACACATGTGAATATGTCCCCAACAAAAAATTTAAGCATTGTTCTACAAAAACAACAATTGTCTAAATAGCCGAAGCATCACAAGGCAATATGGCAGCCAAATTGGCGAAGCCCAAATCTAGTAAATTTTTACATCCAAATTGATTTCATTGGTATTGGTTGGTATCGGACTCCTATAGCATATACAAACTGAGCTATTGGAGCAAGTGCTTGTACGGTAAACTTTTTAATTTGATAAGATATAATCCATGAATTCAACATTATTTTTTAATGTAATGGTGCAATCTCCGAAGAAATTGTTCACATCGAGTGACTATGGCTATTGCTGTCATACAAACTGAACGATCAAACTTAAGTTATTACATTGAATGTTTCATTTCAGAAGGGTATTTTGTTTAACTTTCAATTTTGCCAACACCTTAAAGTATTTCCCATGGTTCAAATACTTAAAATGCAAAGAACGTGGGTAAGAGGAATTGGCTCCGTCCGCTATTTATAACCAATATTAACAGCAAAGACAATGTCAGCCTCGAAATCCGAAGCATAATAAATAACTTTGACAGCAGATGCTACTTCGGACTGAGTAGGCAGTTGATAGAGTCCTTTCTCAACTAACAAAAACCAAACTCAATAAGTTACTTATTATTCACGTCCTGCTATGTGGCAATCATAAGACGACCACATTTGAAGAGTGGACGTAACGGTTTTCCTTTGCGCATTGGCAACGACGAATATCGTATTCGTTGGAACGATGAGCAGTTTGAGATATACGTCTACATTGACATAGTTCAGCGAATTAAAAGACAGCGTCCAAGCTGGTTTGGTCGTGTCGTCCGTAGGGTTGGAAACGCTCCAGCGCGGAAGTATTCGACGCAATACCCTCCGCGGAAGCAGAGGAAGAGGAAGATCATCTATCCGTTGCGCGATATTGTCGACTAGGCTATAACCGCGTAGGCGGGTCTACGCCCGTAAAGAATAAGAAGAAATTATTGAAAGTTGCTATACAGCAAAAGCCTGCTTTGTCTAAGAAATAGTTTTCCCAATACGAAAGAGATAATTTCACAAATAAAATATACAACAACTAAAGACGGGCTAAGATATTGGTAATAATATTGTAATTACAAATGCAACATATCTGAGTTAACAACGTGTGAAATACATATGTATGCATTTCATTTTGTCATAAAACAAATTAACTCCATATATATATTTAAGCCGCACCCATCAAGTCTGATAATTTGGTGACAATATAGTAATTACAACCGCTTATGTCAGAATTAACAACGTGTGAAATACTTATTTCGCTTTGTGATAAAAACTGATTGCGTTCTTTCTAGGTATTAAAATAAATTCATTCAAACATTATACGTCACTCACCAACTTAATTTCATTAGGATAATCAGGAATATCAATTATACTTTTTATAATATATATAATGGTTAAACGAGGTTGAGACCTGTCTTCCATTCTCATCACTTGGCGAAAACTACAACACTTATTGGTCGAACCATCCCATTATCAGAGATAATATTCCCCACTACGAACAAATTAATACAAATGTCCCAGAATTCCAAACCACGATCATGTCGGTTGATTCTACTTTCGTATAAATAAGTATTACCATAATATATAGTCCACCTAGACAAAATATCAAAATGGACTTCTCTACAGAAWTTATACTAAAACACCATGGGTAGTGATTTTAACAAAAGCTTTTCAAAGCTGTTATGACTACTGAATGCGACTTCATCTATTGGCAAGCCGACTTACTGGCCTTCCAACAAAAAACAAATTAGCTGACCCGATACATCCTCGACAAATATCTAAGACCTTCATTACAATGGAAAATGGTTTTGGACTTAAATTCGGACCATTAGCTGGTACATTTAATCCTATATGGTAATCTAAAAGATATCGACATACCACCTTAATTAATAGACATAGGGATTATGGATTCGGAGTATTTCAAAGTTATGCTTGACAGAAATGTTGATACTAAAGTAAATATGACAACTCAAGATATTTTAGAAGATGAAGTTCATTCCTTTACGAAAACTATTTAAAAATCGGCTTGGAAAAGTACTCCTGCTCCTAAACAAAAAAAATATTATACTAATTATCCATCCAATAAATTAGATTTTATAAAGAAATAGAGATAACTACGTAAAAATTACACATTCGGCGGTTTCCTCAATTATATTGAGAAAAAAACACCAAACAAAAATACAGATTATTTCCTTTGGAAAGAAATTACAAGTATTAGGAAACCAATATTGTCGAATGCACTTCTTAGAAAGCCAAACGGATCCAGGGCCAAAAGCTGCGAAGAAAAAGTGAAAGAGTGTCAGAGAAACTTTTTCGTTCCATGATACTTTAACGTAGCTGAAAGAATCGCAAAATCCAATCAGCAACAAATATAGAAGTGGAAAATATCATTAAAACTTCATAAATTAAGACTTTACTTACCATAGTATCTAACCGATCTAATTGGCTCTTACCTGAGCAACCGCTACTTCAGGACAGGGACAATAATATAGAACCTTACAGCCAATAAAAACCGGTATTACCCTGGGAAGTGTCCTGGGACTAATCTTATATATTTTGTTTACTATGTAGCGACATGCTTACGTCGCCAAACTGCGCAATCGTCACATTTGCAGATGATACCTGCATCATCACGAACCGTAAAAATTCACTAAATAAAATTGTAGATTGGAGACAGAAATAGCAAATTACTTGAAACGAGTTGTCTACCCATATAAACTCCACTAACAAAAGTGGTACGAATATCCCCTTACATATTGAGAATTAAGTAATCCCGTACTCCACCTCGGTGAAATATCTTGGTATGACGCTGGATGTAAAGTTGAATTGGAAGGAGCATATACAAAAAAAGTTTCAGAACTAAAACTAAAATACAACAAAATAAATTGGTTAATCGGCAAGAAATCACCCTTAACAACTTCACATAAAATCATAGTCTACAATCAAACGTTTAAACCTATTTGGGCATACGGAATTCAACTATGAGGATGCGCTGCACCGTTATACATCGAAGCGGTGTAAGGATTCCAAAATAAAGTTCTGCGAGAAAGTGAAAATACAACGTGATACATACGTAATTCGGATCTATATCCTGATCTTCATATAAAAATGGCTCGGGAAGTCATTCGCGGAGCGTCATCGAAAAATGCAAAAAAGGTTACAAAATCATGAAGCCCGGCAACTAGGAAAGACTGGAAATAGCAGGCGCAGACTAAAAAGAACAACGTTTCATGATCTAATAAGAATTTAAGAAAATAACACATATCATAAAATTTGATTATTAAGTTTAGTTTAAGAAAAAGAGATTTTATTACAGCTTTTATTGTTTCAATAGAAAATATTGTTTTTAAATAAAGGAAAAAAAATCCCTTGGCACAATTATAAGGTGGTGGTATATAACAAGGCTCTGATTTCGAAAATTATCATTCGTAGATCAATTACAAATATAAGTAGTTATAGAGTTATAGCTGTTCATACGAATAAAATGGTTTTATGAAGATTGTAATAGAAGAATACCAACGTTGATCGATTTTTGTTAAGTAATTATTACCTACTTTCCCCGAGTAAACATATTGAATCGGCAGCTATGGAAATATTCCATACAAGTTTAAAATATTTTTAACATTCATATCTATTGCAGATAACTAAAAAATTAGGCTTTTAATTTTGTAATATCGAAATCTAATGAAATTTAAAAAAAATCTTTGATTTACAATAAAAACATAATATTATAAACTTTCTTGTAACCTGTTTGTAATTGGATAAGAGTACTTACACGTGAAACCTTATGTTCAACCGGATACTGAAATATAAAATAAAAATTAAATTTATTTGAGAATTTTTATTGAATTTTGTATGTGAATTGGAAGTATTCTATATTTAGCTAATTAGATTAGTTGAAATAATATAGAACATATTGCAACACCTAAAACTAATCAAGAAAAATATGTATTATACATATAATATAAAGGAAACCGATGACGAGTCGGATCCACTTACAAGTAACTGTATATCCAACCGTCTAAGTAAGTTATTAAATGAGTTCAAATTAAGATATCTTGATGAAACTTAGTGCATTTGTTTCTTGGCTCCCTGAAGATATTGCAAATGGTTATACAGTGTTATGAATAAGCTATAGATTAAGGCAAAAACTTTAAATTGGTACAGAACATCAAGCTTAACGGGGCATCTGCAGTTTAAAACTTTTTAAAAAGTTTAATGTATAGCTCATAATAGATGTCGTTGCAGTCGTATATTTCCACTGCTACCAATCACGTTGTGTCTTACCATATAGTGTTGGAAACGAGGGATTCATTTATCCAAAAACAATTAATTAATATTTTAGCAGTAAACGCAAAGCTACTATTTGCCCCAGAATTGTGTCGCACTAAGCAATGTTAATACCCCTTGGAATGAAAAAGTAAACTATCTCGGCAATATTATTATTTTAAAATTTGTGTTTATACAACAAGTTTCGTATATTAATAATATAATAAATCTTTTAGTTAAGAAACCGTACCATCCCATTAATCGCAAATATTTATAGCCAAATCCGCAACAAAGCGTAGTTCTTCAACATATCACTAATTTGCGTTCGGTATCTTTGGCACAACAGTCGGTAAATTCAGTCTCCACGACGAAACATCCCCCAACGGTTTGAGGCTGATCGACTTCGCCGGGGCCCGAAATATGGTTATCTGTCGTACTAGATTCCAGCATAAGAACATACATATATCAAGCTACCTGGCTTTCTCCGGATCGAAAAGCCATTAAGATCGATCATGTTGTGATAGATGGAAGACACGTCTCCAGTTTCTTTTACTAACATCGATTCGAGCCACTATCTTGTTGCCTCCAGAATTTGCACTTGCCTCTGTGCAGCAAAAAACGCATTTCAAAAAACACATGGTAGGTTCGTTGACTAGAAGCTGCAATCACAACAGACAGTCGAACGATTATCTACCCGACTTGTACTCTCTGAGACCACAACTCGGTATAAGGGAACTGTGGGACTTCGTTTCAAGCTCCTTACGATCAGCTGCATTGGTTTTTGGTAAATGCAAAAACTAACTGGTACGATGAGGACTGCCGTGTCGCTGCAGAGAGAAAGCAGACTGCCTACCTCGGAACGTCACAATCGCCCACAATATTTGCGGGATGGGGGAAATACCAAGAGCTGAAAAGAGAAACTAGACGCATTTGCAAATTAAAAAGAAAGAGGCCGAAGGCGTGATTAGAAAGAGCTTGACAAGCTGGCCGACATGGGTATTGCCCGAAAAATGCTACGAAAATATGTGGCGACTAACAGAAGGTTTCAAGACGGGAGCATACCCTTGCAAAACCCCCAAAGGTAATCTAGTGGTGGATGACCAGACCTTACTAAAATTATAAAAGGAACACTTCTCCAGCCTGCTAAATGACAGTGAAAGCTTAAYGCAAGGTGAAGGCGAATCCGATCCCCAAATCGATGACGATAGAGGAGACGTTTCATTGCCCGTGCATGAAAAAGTTCGAATAGCAATTACGCGTCTGAAGAACAGGAAAGCGGCGGGGGCCGATGTATTGCGGCCGAGCTATGCAAACACGGCAGCGAAGAACTGATAAGGAGCATGCATCAGCCTCTTTGTAGAATATGGTCAGACGGAAGCATGCCAACGATTGGAATTTACGTGTGGTCTGGCCAATCCACAAAAAGGGCCCCAAAATCTGCGCCAATTGCCGTGGGATTCCGTACACAGACTGATTGGACCTTATCAGTGTGCCTTAAGACCAGGAAAATCCACAACCAACCTGATATTTACCATGCACCAAACCTATTACGGCTATGTAATAGGACWTTGAGCAGCACCAAAAGCTCCGTCACGATCGCGAAGGACCTCTCCGAGCCACTCCATGCCAAACGAGGTTTCAGACAAGGCGACTCCCCTTCGTGTGACTTCTGCAACCTACTTTTGGAGAAAATAATTAGAACTGCAGAACTAAAAAGACAAGGCATCATATTCTACAATAGTATACCGCTGAGAACATTTGATGAGTCGACGTTACGAGTTTTTGAGAGAAAAGTTCTGCGAAAAATTTATGGTATTTTGCTCGTTGACCACGGCGAATATCACAATCGAGGGAATGATGAACTATTGACATTGACATAGTTCAGCGAATTAAAAGGCAGCAGCTATGTTGCCCGAATGGACGAAAACACTCCTGTCTCGACGCCGTATCTGTCGTTTTATTGTATTATTTTTGTGGAGGAAAGGAGACATCTTTGATAGTAATAATTTGGTCTGTAAAAAAACCGCTGTATTAACTATTTCCCAGGTTTATCTATTAAGATAATCTGCGACTTTTTCTATGAAATTTTATAGTATCCGGAAACTAAGGATTTAATGTAAGTATCAAGAGAAATAAAGTTTTCCTTGTATCGGATGTGCAGTTACTTACGAATTCTATGCACTTTTGTGAGCATTCGCCCTGCAAGGATATAGGAGTGCACATATTTACAAGTCTTATAGTGATAAAAAAAAAATATTAAAAAAAGGAACATAAAACAACAGAAAGGAATTGAAAAATAATTTACGGGTGACGGTGTATCTCGATTGTCGACAAAACTACGAATCCTATTTGAATAATTTACTTGGCAAAGTTTTAAATAGTGAAAACTATGAATTGAACCACAACATACTACAAGTATTATACAACATGGCAATACAGCGAACACTTAGGTTCGAGATCTCGCGATACTATTATAAGATACTACATATCACTTTTAAAACTCTCTTGATCTGCGATATGTTAATATTATTTTGAAATTCATATCAATATCCCTCAAAGCAATCCCCCTTGGCCATATAACACTTGTGCAAACGTTTTTTCCAACGGTTTCCACCGAACTGTTGTTTGAGTTTGCTAAATAGCCAAAAGTAACACGGAGTTAAGTCAATAGAATACGATATTGGTTAAAAACTCACGAAAAATCAATGCAGTATGCGACATGGTGCAAAAACCAAGAGTTGTCGACCCATAATTCCGTTCTCCTTTTACGAATAACTTACAGTCCAAAAGTATTCGGAGTGCGGCACACAGTGATGCACCTGCTTTGACGTGTTTTTTGCGGCTTCTGCTCATCTTTGCTACTATATTCGGCCGGTTGATCGTCTGGGATCCGGATCGTAAGCGTAGATTCAGGACTCATTGCCAGTTTATATGCTTCATGATATCCTGGTAGTCGGAAAATATTGTTTTAAGGACGTTAACGCGACGCTGATTTTCGAAAAAAATTCGTGAAATTAGAACCAATCGTGCTTCACGTTGAAATCACTGATCCTTCCGATATTCCGACGATGCCAGTAAGGTCTCTGACTGTTTATCGTCCATCCTCAGGCACCAATTCCCTTATGGACGTCAACGCCTTCACGGCCGTCTTTGAATAATTTTTATTAAAGTCAAAAACCCTTGCTCGGGGTAAACAATTATCACGGCCTTTTCCTAGATATTTAACGTTTCCGCAGCAGAAATTTGATTCGGCACACAAGATTCTATGGAAATTTTTTGTTGAATAATTTCCAACCCAGAAAAAAATTTGACGAATGTTTATTCGCGCTAAATTTAAATTAAAAAGTCTTATTATAATTACTTCGACTAAAATGAGTTTGTGCATACTTTGATTGTTGATTGGAAGACAATTGGAGTTTAATAAATTTTCTGTACAACCGCTATGCCAGATAGCGGGGACAGGCAAGTGGCTGACAGTCCAACGCCGTTCTAAAGTGTTTACCAAAAACAACGTATTTACCAATTTACGGTATCCGCTCTTCAGTTGCGAAATTACATAACGAAAACGAGTCAACTACAATCTCACAGCAGCAAATGGGTATACGATTAATACGAACGTACGATAAAAGTTGCATGTTAGTTATCAGTAACCAATATACAGAAATTGAAGTACTGTTCATCGCCCCTATATGGCCAGATACGCTAAAGCTCTCTGCAATCTGCCAGACAACAAAACATAAGACGCAACACCACATATAAGATTTCTTTCCGACAAACTTAACCGGCAAAACAATACCTTCAACCATTGATCTCAAATGATTTAAGGCAAAAAGTAAAAATCGTTTTTGAACGTTTCTCAGAATGAACTAGATAACAAGGGTTCATTCCACGGAAGCATACTCTAATATAGGCCTCACCAAAGATGTAAAAAGAATTTTCGTGGTAAGCGGATCTCTAAATTCTTTAGACCAACGTTTAACAAATCTTAGAGCACCTTTAGCTTTAAAAACTATGGAAGATGTGTGAAGATTAAAATTGAGTTTGTTTTCCATAGTTACTCCCGAGTCAACAAAACTGCATACTTGATCCAACCGTAAGTTTTGTATTACGTATGAAGTATGGTCTACAAATCTACGTGAAAAGCACATCGTTTTACATTTTTTAAGATTCAATGGCAAGTCATTTCTATCACACCGAGAAACTAGGTTATTTAAGTCTGACATCTTTCTCTATTTGAGGTGAATGATTTAAAAAGTTTTACATCGTCAGCATATAATAARACGTTTGAAAACTTAACAACAGATGATATGTCATTAATAAATAACAAGAACAGAATTGGACCAAGAAGGCTACCTTGAGGAACACCTGAAGGAACATTGATTATGTCGGAAAGAGTATCGTTAGATATGACTTGTTGAATTCTATTACTAAGATAAGAAGCAACCCATTTTAGAAATATTGAAGATCAAGTTTATTCAAAAGAATTGAGTGGTTTACTTTATCAAAAGCTTTACTGAAATCTGTGTATATAAC